AGGCACTGTGCAGCCCTGCCTCCCTGCTAGCACCACAGTAACAAAGGGGTTTTATTTGGGGCTTCCTGGAGCGAAGAATATAGACTTAAATTCCAAGGACAGTCTGTGAGGGACCAAAGGCTTGACCAAGAGCTTTATAGCAGCACCTGACAGCAACTGGTCTTGGACTCATCTGCATGGCACTGCCCCCCTGCATTAGGGCTCATGGCCACTGTCAGCCTGGAGAGGATTCTGGAGCTGCCAGGAGATGTCAGGGGATCTGCAGGGAGAACATGCAACGCTGACTTGGTAGGGATTAGAACCTCATAAAATTAATGGCCATCCAAAGAAGAGTTCGGTAAAGAAAAAGGGGAATCTGAGGAGTCCATGGGGTAAGGACAGCCCTGCCATGGCAGGAGTGGTGGTGATGTGCCAGCGGACAAAGACCTTTAAGAGTGTACAGTAATTGAGGATAACCTTCTTGAGGCCTCATGGACCAGGTCTGGTGCAGCACTTGCCTGCCCTTTGTGCCCTCAGAGACACCCCATGGTCCTGCCCAGCACTGCCCTGTGCTGCTGAGCCATCAGGGCACATGGAAAGGGGCTCAGCCGTAGAGATCCCCATGGAGTTGGGTCTGCTGCCCACCCTGAGCAGCACGGGCAGGGGGAAGACCCGCAGGGGTCCCAGGGCACCACAGCCCCTGGCTCTCACAGCAGCACCGCCAGCTCGGGGCCCTGCAAGGAGCACAGGGAGGGAAGCAGCAATGGCTGGCCAGGCCAGCAGAGACACACTGCCCTGGGCAAGGCTCTCTGGGAGCAGGGATGGCCCTGGGGAAGAGCAGAACCGCATTGCTGGGCCTGCACTGATGGGGAAAGGGCAAAGGGAAAGCTCTTTGTGCAGGCCCCTGCTCAGGGCAGGCTGCTCTGTGGCTGGGCCAGGCCTCTTGTGCTGGCCTGGGGAGCGGGGCTGGCCCTGCGGGGCACAGGCACTGTGTGCTGGGGATCTGCCAGGCAAGAGAGCAGGGCTCCTGCAGCTTCACGGACCTCCATCTCCTGGCACCACGGACACCTCCTTGCTCCATGCATCCAGCAGATAAACACCTATTGACCACCTGCTTTCTTTTCTTCATGAAGAATTGGAGGCAGAATTGCAAAAGTAAATAAAACTCATAAATTGTAAGCCACAGAGGGCCATGATGCTCTGCAAACATTGCTCAAAAAGAGCGACCAGTACTGTGGGTTACCAGCACTGCTCTGGTCACATATCCCAAACACAGCACCTCAGTGGCTGCTCTGCAGATACTAACTCTGTCCCAGACACAGCCAGTACAGGGCCCCTGATGGACAAGAAGGCTTCCTCTGCACTCTGGAAGGAGCCAGGAAGGTGCTAATAAGCACCAGGACAATTGAGGAAACCCAAAGGCCCTTCTGAAGGGTCACTGAGTAGCACCTGAGAGGCAGTGCTGGGCAGTGGGGAGGGCCAGGAGAAAGACTTGTGAGAAGGCTGTGAGAAACACAGACACTCAGGGCTTTAGCAGCTGTCTGTGGATGGAGTAGGAGGACGAGGTCACTCCTGGAACTGGGGCAGGGCTGAAGGGCCCTGCGTGAAGCTGGGCTGAAGGAGATGTGTCCACCTTGCATGTGTGCCTCAGCCTGGGAGCAGGGGCCTGCCCGTGGTGCGCGATGGCTGGGCTGTGCTCAGCCATGCCCCAGGAGATGACCTTGCTCTCTTCCTCCCCACCACTCCCCACACGGGGCAGGCCCTCAGCAAACACCCCTGAGCCTGGAGATGCACCAACCTGCTGCGGTCAGGTACCACTACTGCAGGGGGAGAGGGGAGGCTTGGAGAGACCTGTGGGGCCTGCGGGCATGAGTGGTGTGGCCTGGGGAAGTGAGTGCCTGCGAAAAGTTACCCTGGAGCCATAGGAGCCATTCTGGAAAGAAAACTTGTAGGCAGGAACCACACTTTTGTGGCACTGTAGAGCTGCTGGGCACATTGTGCAGGGTGCCCTGATGGACTTTTGTGTCCTTTTCCATCGTGTCTTAAGCGCCACTTTTCTCTGAAATAGAGCAGCCAACAGAGGTGTGATGGATACTCTGAGATCATGAAAGCCATCAGAAAGCTGATCCCAGTGAGATGACTGATATTGGGAGGTCAGGAGAAAGATGGACAGGAGAGATGTGAGATTTGGGGGAAGGAACAGGGGCTTTGCCAGCAGAAATTAAGGATTTTGTAGAGGTATGTTGGTTCAGGTTCTGCTGATACTGCTGTAGCAGTGACTTAAAACAGTTATATGAGGCTATTCCCTGGCTTCAACCTGTAAACTTAATTCCTACACCTAAATGCTACTCCACACCCTGACAGGAATCCACTACGCTAATGACTGTCCTCAACATATCCCTAGAAGACAAAACTCAGCCCATAGCCGCTTCCCCTAGCTCTTATTCTCTTAATCACTCTGATTTCTGCTCTTAATACTAGAACTAAAATGGCTTACACTAGAAAACTGCTTAAGAGACCTAAACAAGACCCTTAACCCAAATGAATGTGAAGGGCCATGGATCTGATCAGCTTGTGGGCCACGACGAGGAGATGGGTGGGAATGCTATGAGGAGCTCAGCTCTGCCTCAGGATCTCATGGCCCAGCAGGAGCAATGTGACTGTGGCAGGGACTGTGAGGTCACTTCTGTCTCTGCACTTGATAGGCCAGCAGCAGGAACGTGTCACAGAAAGGGACTGTGAGGTCACTTGTGTCTGTAGGTGGCAGGTCAGCCTTGCCTTCTCCCTGTCAGCCCTTTTTTTGGGCTGACATCTGGCAGTGGCCCTGCTAGGCCAGCAGAAGACACCTGCTTGGCATGCTGACTGGGGGATCCCCTCTGCCTCCAGAGCCAGGAGGACCCAGGCAGAAAGAAGGCCCCCAGATGGGTTGTCCTGTCCCTTCTGCTTGAGTCCATGACTGGGCAGCAGCAGGCACAAGGCTTGGCTGTGTCTCCACAAGAAGTTGCAAGGCCAGCAGCAGGCCCCTGGCTTGGAAGCTGCTGCTGAGGTGACTTGTGTCTGCTTGGCTGAGAGGCCGCCAGGAGCCTGCTGGGTTGGGATGCCTACTTCAGGAGGGGTTTCTACCATGCTGATGCCATACGAGCAGTGGTGCCTTCTCACCAGGAACCAGGCCAGCTTCCAACAGAGCTGACTTATGAGATATTTGGGTCCATGGCTATGGCTATTGTCTCTGCCACTAAAGCTTTTGAGGAGACAGATAATCATTAAAGCACCAGATCCTAATTGGCTTCTCGTGGGCTCATCAGCAAAGCAACCAGAGTGGTGATTATAATACCTTGGGCTAGGCCTCTGCTGCTGAGCTGGGCCGGGCTCCTGGGACATGAGAAAACACATTTTAAAAAGTCCCATGAAGCAGAGAGACAGCTCTGCCCAGGAGCAGCTCCTCTGCACAACGCAGCAGGAAAGAGACACAGAGGCACAGACACAGAAAGAAGAAAAGGAGAGAGGTGATGAAGGCAGTTGGCAGTGGGAGGATGCTGAGAGCTGCCTGCAGGAGAAACATGCACAGCCCTTGACAAGGTAAGGGTCTGGCTGCAGGGCCATGCAGCTGCAGGTCCTGGGAGGGTCTTCTGCTGGGTCTTGTTTCTGGGAGTGCAGTGGGCAATGCAGTAAGCTTTGAGAGTCCTGCTGGGTTGCAGTGCGAGGTGAGGAAGTCTGGCAGAAGCCCCTTGGAGTGTTATAACCCAGCTGCCCCTGGTCAGATAAGACAGGGGTGGCTAGAACACTGCAGGAGATGCAGCTAGGATATGGGACACTCCAGCTTTCAGATATCCAGCTCTGTCTGTGGGGCATCCTCCTGGGCTGCAGGCTGCCCTCCGGCAGGTTGTAGCTCTCTCGTGGCTTCCTTGTGTTATCCAGGTGCCCCAAGGAGAAGACACCTCCTTGCTAAGGACATGTCCGTGCTGCTGGATGGCTGTCTGTGGGCAGCTGGTTTGAGGCTTCTGCACTCCTATCTAGGAGGCAAGAGCTGAGATCCTGATCACACACCTGGAGATAAGGTGAGGATTCTGTCCATCTGCCTTTTGAGTTGGGCTTCTCTGCTCTCAGCTGTCTCCAGTTTCTTCTCATGCCCAAGCTCACTGCTGGGCAGGTCTGCTCTGCTCAGTCTTCACCAAGGGACAGCCCCTTTGCCTCCTGGCATCTGCAGGATTTCACCAGGAGCACACATATCAAGTCACAGAGTTCAACCATCCAATAATTCACCTAAGCGTTACAGGGGCAAGCAAATAACATTAAAGCAAGTAAAACACTGCAGCTCTGCTCTGCATTCAGATGAGTTGTTTGCAAGAAAATGCTGCAAACTCATTGACCTGACAAGTGGACTGAACTTGAGTTTCCCCAACGTTCCTGATTCCCTCCTGCTGCAGGTAGGACTCCTCTGCAGCCCACAGCAGCCCCTGCACCCAGTGCCACTGTCAGCCAGCACCAGCCAAAACTCAAGCAGAAGAGCTGCAGAAAGGTTCTGCTGCAAAGAGAGAGGCTCTGTTTGGGGGTTCTCTAAGACTTGTAATAGGTTTTCCTCATCCAAATCAGTTCTAACTTTGCTATATTTTTTTCTCCCAAACAGAGAAGGTCAGAAAATGCCCAACATCAGCTCTGTGAGCGAGTTCCTCCTGCTGGCATTCGCAGACACGCGCGAGCTGCAGCTCCTGCACTTTGCGCTCTTCCTGGCCATCTACCTGGCTGCCCTCCTGGGCAACGGCCTCATCCTCAGCGCCGTAGCCTGCCACCACCGCCTCCACACTCCCATGTACTTCTTCCTCCTCAACCTCGCCCTCCTCGACCTGGGCTGCATCTCCACCACTCTGCCCAAAGCCATGGCCAATGCCCTCTGGGACACCAGGGCCATCTCTTATCAAGGCTGTGCTGCACAGGTCTTCCTTTTAATTTTTCTGATTGGAGCAGAGTATTCCCTTCTCACTGTCATGGCCTACGACCGCTACGTTGCCATCTGCAAGCCCCTGCACTACGGGAGCCTCCTGGACAGCAGAGCTTGTGCCCAGATGGCAGCAGCTGCCTGGGGCAGTGGCTTTCTGTACAGTGTCCTGCACACAGCCAACACATTTTCCCTGCCCCTCTGCCAAGGCAATGCTGTGGACCAGTTCTTCTGTGAGATCCCCCACATCCTCAAACTCTCCTGCTCAGATGCCTACCTCAGGGAAGTTTTGTCTCTTGTGTTTAGTGGTTTTTTAGGCTTTGGTTGTTTTGTTTTCATTGTGGTGTCCTATGTGCAGATCTTCAGAGCTGTGCTGAGGATGCCCTCTTCTCAGGGCCAGCACAAAGCCTTTTCCACGTGCCTCCCTCACCTGGCTGTGGTCTCCCTTATGGTCAGCACTGCCATGTTTGCCTACCTGAAGCCCCCCTCCATTTCCTCTCCATCCCTGGACCTGGTCGTGTCATTTCTGTATTCAGTGGTACCTCCAGCACTGAACCCCCTCATCTACAGGATGAGAAACAAGGACTTAAAGTATGGAGTGAGGAGACTGCTCCTATACATGCTTCTTAAACATAAGTAATGAGTTTATAATATATATTCATAATTATATGAAATTACTGTGATTCATGTCCTTTAATTTTTATCATTATTTCAGTAATGTTATTCTTAGCTTACTACCTGTTAATTTATTTACTTTGACCAAATCATCTAATCTACCCATAGGACTAATCTTCCAGTGGAAATAAAGACAATAAAGAAGCCATCAGAAATGAACTGATGTCAGTATCCATCTCTTCCTATCTTCTCTGGAGCTGGGGGAGCAGCCCCAGCATGCAGGAGGGGCTCGGGGCCAAAAGCCCAGCTGCCACATGTAGGAGCAGCCCCAGTGGCCCTTTGGGGCTGCCCCTCACTGCCCACTGGGCTCTGCCTCTCTGCTGCCTTCGGGTCGGGGCTGCTGCTTCCCTGGAGCCATGTCCATGGCCAGCAGCAGGATGTGGACTTGTAAGGAATGGAACCTGAGCATGAAATAAACGGTATTAAACAAGGGGTGGATAGATATCCTGGTTTCAATTAGGACAGAGGTAATTTTCCTCCTACTAGTTGTTAGGGTGCTATGTTTTGGCTTAGGATGAGAAGAGTGCTGATAAGACGCTGATGTTTAATTGTTGCAGAGCAGTGCTTACACCAAGCCAAGGACGTCTCAGCTTCTCACTCTCTCCTGCCAGTGGTCAGGCTGGGGGTGCAGCAGGAGCTGGGAGGGGACAGACCCAGGACACCTGACTCAAACTGGCCAAAGGGGTATTCCATACCATTTAATATCATGGTAAACAATATATAGGGATGGCTAGCCATGGGGAGGAGGGCTGGACTACTCGGGGTGAGGCTGGGCATTGGTCAGCGGGTGGTGAGCAATTGCATTGTGCGTCACTTGTTTGTACACATTATTATTAGTAGTACTATTATCATCATTATTGTTGTTATTGTTATTATTATTTTCCTGTCTTACTAAACTGTCTTTATCTCAACTCAAAGGCTTCACTTTCCCATTTCTCTCCCCCATCCCAGAAAGGGAGGGGGGAGGATGAGTGAATGACTGTGTGGTGTTTAGTTGCGGTTGGATTAAACCACAACACCTGGACATGAGAGTTTTGATCTTTGTGGGTGGTAAGAGGAGCATGGGCAGCAGAAAATAATGATTTTGTAGAGGGAAGAGGCATCATGTAATGTAGATCGTGTGGTAACCCTGACTTGTACAGTCATATATGGCCCTAACACTATTTTAACCCGTAGTTTTAAACCCTAAATCTAAATGCTCCTCCAACACTCTGACAGGAATCCATTCCTCTAAAGCTTGAACATAAGGTGTCCCTTGAAGCAAAACTCACCTCATAGCCCCTTTCCCTTACTTTTACTCTCTTGCTCACCCTAATCCCTTCCCTTAACATTAGTATTAAAATGCTCTATTTAAACCTTGTCTTCTAGGCAGACATAAAAATGAACTAAACCACAGAGCCTGCCCATACCCTAAACATAGAAGAACACCAAACTTTCCCACTAAACCTTTGTTTACTCTCTAACCCAGAAAGGTGAGCCCCAGTCCAGTGGGAACTAGAAAGTAGTCAGCTCTGCCTCAGGATCTCCTGCCCCAGCAGGAGGAATGTGACTGTGGCAGGGACTGTGAGGTCACTTCTGCCTCTGCACTTGATAGGCCAGCAGCAGGAACATGTCACAGAAAGGGACTGGGAGGTCACTTCTGCCTGTAGGGGGCAGGTCACCCTTGACTCCTCCCTGGGATCTGCACTTTTGGGCTGACATCTGGCAGTGGCCCTGCTAGGCCAGCAGAAGGCACCTGCTTGGCATGCTGACTGGGGGATCCCCTCTGCCTCCACACCCAGGAGGACCAAGAACGAAAGAAGGCCCCCATATGGGTTGTCCTGTCCCTTCTGCTTGAGTCCATGACTGCACAACAGCAGGCACAAGGCTTGGCTGTGTCTAGCCAAGAAGCTGCAAGGCCAGCAGCAGGCCCCTGGCTTGGAAGCTGCTGCTGAGGTGACTTGTGTCTGCTTGGCTGAGAGGCCGCAAGGAGCCTGCTGCGTTGGGATGCCTACTTCAGGAGTGGTTTCCAACCTGATGGAGCTTTCTGTGGTAGTAGGAAAGAGCAGGAGTGAAAAACTTTCCACAAGGTGTGTCCTGGAATGTTGGAACTGGCCACGAAGAGGAAGAAATGTCCCTCAAGGGGTTGTGCTGCTGTCCCACAGGTCACCCTCTGATCAGACCCTGGCTTTGTCTTTCAAGGAACAGCTGGTGAGGGTTGACGAGACATGGGTTAAAGGAAGCGATGAGAGCAAAGTGTTGAACAGAGATGGGTGTATGAAGACTTCAAGGAAATAGGGCAATGTGTGGGACAGCATTGGAAAACCTGCAGAGGAGAAGGCAGAGGGTGCTGGCAAAAAGGGAAGTTGCTAACAACCCTGAGATATTTGTCTCCTTGTCTAGAGATTATGAGGAGAGATGTTATACTCGTTGCAATGAGGCCTCATTGATTGCTTGCAACCCTGTGCAGCAGCTCAGAGGTGACATACCACTGTTCTTCCCTAGGCATCACCCTGCCCACCACATCCCACAGAACCCCAGGAAGAGCCCTGAGCCAAACACTGGGGGTGCAGGATCTCCCCTTCCAGTGGCTGGGGCCAACCCTTGGCCCTTCTGCATCACCAAAACCAACCAAGGCTTTTCTCAGCACAGTGCTTTGCCTGTCTGTAACCATGGCCTCTAATTATCTGCCCTAACAACGCCTTGGGGAGTCTTTGTTAGTAACAGCCCTCAGTGGGGCCCATTCATACTCCAAGTCACTTCAGCTTTTCCTCCTGACTTTACTTTCTCTAACAGTTGCATCATGTTCCTCTTTGTACCTGAACTTCATAAACTTAGCACCAAAATAAACCATGGAACTCATTAAAATGCAGAAACTCCTAACATCTCTTTGATAGTTGTCTTCAAGCCTTCATTCCTTGTGCAGCTAATTGCAGAGCTTGCAGGATGTAATTAAGGAAGAAGATTTCAAAGAGCAACCAATAAAAACATTTTCTAGTTTCAAAGGCTGAATTTTGCTGCATTTCAGTTTTCAGCATCATTCTCCTATTGCTATTGATCCAGGGTGACTTCTTTGGAGACCTTCATTGAGAGGAAGAGCAGAGTGTGCTGGTCTGACACCTCCACTGCCAGCAGTGGTCTTTGTCCCTGTAACTGCAGCCCAGCCCAGCACATGAAATCCTTTCTAAGATAAGTCAGGGGTGCCTTCATTTAAAATAAAATAATTAAAATTAAAATTAAAATTAAATAAAATAAAATAAAATAAAATAAAATAAAATAAAATAAAATAAAATAAAATAAAATATAAAATATAAAATAAATTTGAAATAAAATAAATTCGAAATGACCATTGGAACCTGAGAAATACAGCCTGAATCTTTCTAGACAACTGGACATCCATGGTTTCCCTTCGGTCTTCTGTGGGAAACACAGGATGAAAAGTAAAAAAAATATATCTTCGAGTGGCTGTAGCTGCACCCATGAGCTTGGCCTCATTGGGGAAATTTCCCCTTTCAGACACGGAAACCTACATTGAGTAAAGTGAAAAGACCTGCCCAGTCAATGCAGTAGGGCAAAGTCCTACTTCCTGTGCTATAGATGCAGAAGGCAAAAAGAATTGCATTGTGCCTGACACTACTCAAGGATGTGTGACCCAGTCATACATCTTTACCTTAGTGCTGACAAGTCCGTCACTAAACCACGCTACCAAGCTCTACATCTACACCTTGGCTCTCCAGTCAATGACCCAGCTCATGGATGGCAATCAGGGAGTCTCAGTTAGCGCGACACTGCCTCAGGTGTGTCACCATGGTAGCCATTGGCACCTGCTGTTCTTCAACCCTCAGCAAACCCCCAACAGAAGGATTCTGTGGAAGGCCAAGCAAGGTAGACAACAGTTTCTTGTCCTTTGTCTCCAAGGCAGCTCTGCCAAAGCCCCACCAGTGGTGCCCTCTTGGAACTCAGAATTCCCTCTCCTGAAGCAGTCTATGCCAAGGATGCACATAGCCTCTGGGCCAGTCCCAATGGAGTGCTTTGGCCATTCCTTCCCTGTTAGACTCACTTCAGCCTCCAGTGCAGTTATCTCTTGGGCTGCCCCTTTCACTCCAGAAATACAAGTGGGTTCTACCTTTTTACAGCTTGATGGCATTAGGGTACTCTGTGCACCGGTGTCTAGTAGAGCCTGATGCATTTGTGGGTCTGATGTGTCAGGCCATTAAATATACCCAGTCCAGTAAACCTGATTGTCCCTTTCCTCTGTGTCCCTGCCTTGGCTGGAAGAACGACCCCTGTAGTCCGGCTCCCAGTATTCATTGCTGTGTTTGGTAGATGGTGCACTGGAAAGCATGTCCCATCATGTCAGGGGAGAGGTCACTGAGAGCCAAGGAACGCAATTCGGTGCAGGAGTTGGGGCCCAGCAGAGACAAGGAGTCAAGGCAGTTGGGTGGGGGAGGCCAAGAGAAGCAGCCCAAGAGGTGGTGCTGCTTGTGAGGACACATTTGTGCCAGCAGCCTGAGTGGGCAGCAGCTGTGCGCAGGCGAGGGGAGGCCAGGAAGTGCATGCCAAGAGTGCTCCTGCCAGCAGAGCCAAGGCCGGGGCCGAGCCCAAGGGCAGAGGCAGGCCCAGGGCAGGGGGCTGCAAGTGCCATGCTGAGCTCCCTGCCCCTGCAGCAGCCGCCCTGGCCCTCAGCAGACGTACTGGTAGCCTGCGGGGAGGGGACGAATGCCCTGGGCCCCCTTCCTGCTCTGCCTAGCCCAGCAAGGGCCCAGAGCGGCCTCCTCTCCCCTGCCCCTGCAGCTCTGGGCTCCCTTGGCGCAGCGCTGGCCCTGCAGCACCAAGCCCTGCTGGGAGCCCTCCCCTGCATGCTGCCACCACTCCCTGACTCTGTTGTTGCCCTCTGCCGGGCACTGCCCAGCCCAGCCCAGCCCCTGCCCAACTCT